ACGGTGCTTGGCTGACCCTCGCATTGTCATGAACGGCTGTATATGTATGTGAGTGTGCAGCGTTGCAAATAACAATAGTTTGCGCCCGCATTCCTTTTATGCAAGTTCACTTGCTGCACTTTACTTCCACGCACACGCACACACAAGAGCGGTGCAGTTATAGATGGTTGTTTGCTGGCCTCAGCGCGCCCGAAGGCAATCGCAACCTTTCGTGCGGCACTCTTACCTGTCATTATATCGCTAATAGCTGCTAATGATTTTAAATCTAATGTAGGCCGCTTTTGTTCTTAAGTAGTTTTTCACAAATTTATGCAAAATCATTACTTTCGTTAGTACAAGCGTAAGCGTAAGTGAATCGGCTTTGAATGCATCTGAGTGTGCGCATCAGGATCTAGGATTGCGTTATGCCGTTGTGCAGCTGGCGGCTTCGGCATTGGTTGAAGAAATCGCTTACTCTGGACATTGCGTCTGCATTAATTTTACGCCGCTTGCTTTCCCTCCGGGTGATTTGCATTTTTGGCCATTTAAAGCCGCTTCAATTGGTATCATCAAATTTATCGATGGCGTTTGAGGCGGCACATTTTTGTAATGACTTCTCCTCTTTTTTTTTTTGCTACGGCCAATTGAGAATTTGAGCCTTTGAAGATGTCTAACAAGGTTAGTGATAAGGCGGGTGGAGTATCAAATTACTTCRAACAAGACATCAGTATGGCTGTAATTAGCCTTTTTAAGAGCATTTTGATACATTCTCATGCAGAAAAGGCACCTTTTTGGGAAATAATGAGAGCGTTTWTGAAAATAAGGAAGTTATGTTTCCTTTGTAAATATTCGAAAATGCATTTAATTGCCGGCATAATAAATAGAGCATGATATTTGATGCAAACTTCACTCAGCATAGTCACAGTCTTTGAACTATTTGAAAACTATATTATTAAGTTAAAAAACATTTTTTTATTGGGAAATTCAGCTTCTTTGTTTTTCGAAGTTAGTAGCCGAAAACGAAACATTTATCTTCTATGTTCAAAATTAGGATCGCATTCAAAATCAGGTCTATATTTTTGAAATATATTACCTGACTTTTGCATTTTTAATATATGATTTTTGTTTTTTCAGATTTCCTATAAACCCATAAAACTAGTGAACGTTAAAAATATGTCTTCCATATGAGCTTAACCTCAAACTTTATTTAGCAGATCTAGAAAACATCCCTAAGAATACAATTTCAAAATGATAACCAAGAACAGTATTCCTATTTTAATGCGATCTGCGTTTCAATCTAAACTAAAATCTTAAAAAAAGCATGAGATAACGTCACAGTCGAGAGATCGTTGCAGACATGTTTCGTTCTTGGCGATCTTTGACATCTTAAACTGATAAAAATATTAACAAATCAAGGATATGGTGCTTGAGAATCGTCAGGCAAGTGYTAGAGAGATTGATAGTGAGCTCGATATCTCTCGCGACTGCATTCGAATCATTTTGGTGGATATTTTGGATATGAAACGCGTTCTTGCTCGGCTCGTCCCGATAAAACTGCTTTTTTTTCAAAAAGAGTACCTGTACCTGAGAGACCTGTTTACGTCTCTTTGGACATATTTGATCGTGTGAATTCCTATCTCACATTCATGGAGAGTATTATAACTGTCGATGAAACATGGGTTTATGAGTTTGACATTTAAACAAGTCAACAATCATAGAAATGGAACCCGTTTTCAGTTGAGCGAAGAGATAAAACAGAATTCGTTGGAGGAGCTGAAGGCCATCTTATAAAGGGATTATGAAAAATGTTTCTAGCACTGTAAAAATCGTGAGCATAAGTGTATTACATCTGTTAGCGATTACTTTGAAGGCTACAAATTAAATATTGGAGAATAATTAAACATTTTGCGTTTTATTTACAATGTTTGGGTACTTTTTTGTTCCAATGTATTAAAAAAGCAGATTCCTACAAGCAATTCAACTTCGTAAATACAATTATTGATATGGCACAAATCAAAATATGCAAATTTACGCAATTTCCAAATAAACTAAAACAATTCAGCAAAAAATATATTTCCAACCGAAACAAAAACACAGCGAAAGACCATTTTACGGCTTATTGTACGCTTAGATTCGTAATTGTCGAAAATGGCTAATTGTAGTAAAGCTCCGCTCTAATCCTCGGTAACTTGTCTTATTTTAGATACAATGATCCGCTTTGTTTGGTCGCACCACGCAAATATGCCTGAGCGATTTSCTCTGCTTACCGCACCTGTAACCGGCCAGATAGGATGAGGTGTCCCTTTATCCGCATACATTGTGTCTGCATAAGTTAAGACTACTTACACACACTGCTATGTAGAGCCACCGATTCGTGTCCGCACACACATTACAAAACAATGTCGTTAATCGCAGGCGACTTGTAGTCTTTGTCTGAGCTCATTGCTCGCTACTGAGCAGTGTCGCCGATTTAGTTAATCCTTTGTTTTGATAGGAGCTGCTCAAAGTATTGTGCCTTTAATAAAGATCAGAATTTCGTGGTTTCAGCGCTTGGATTTGGAGTACAAGTGAATAATGTCTTGGTTATTTTGCCTATTCTTAAGGCATTGCCCTTTAGCTGGTAAAACCAAATTACCGGTCTAATAAACGAATGAAGTAAGATTAGCACAGGCAGGATTAGAGAGTTTATTTTAGTAGTGGTTAGCAAACGGCCGGCAGCTTGAAATCTCGCAGAGTATTTTAGAGATATTAAAATCTTTTCCTAATTATTAAATTTGCAATCTATTAGTAAACTCAAGATAGCTAACCAAAGCTGCACAAGGTAACCCACTAGTAAATCGAACGTGGAGAGAAAGTAAATCTGTAAAGCAAGTGATAACCTCCTTATTTGGGTTATTAGGAAAACGTGGAATTTTCGGTGAAAACTTAACTCCAAACAACTGTGTGTAAAGTAAATGCCTGGTTTAAAAAATTTGTTTCTTATATTAGCCTTATGACAGCTCTTGGCTGTCCGTTTCAATTACGTATATCATATGGTTCAATAAGTTTTGTCGTTTGATAGGGAAAAAACATTTTATGATTCAAAATACACTTTATTACTCAGTATGATCGCTTGGAACATTAATGCACTTTCTCCAATCTGTGGATCCCATCTCTGAAGCGAGAATCCGGAAGGTCTGCACAATACGCTTCAACAGCCATTATGGCCTCTCCATTTGATATAAAACGCTTGCCACTAATACAATTTTTGAGTTCTGGAAACAAATGGAAGTGGCTGGGGGCCAAATCTCGTGWATACAGTGGATGTTCCAACAATTCGAACTTCAATTCGTGGATTTTAGCCATAGTCAAAATGCTCTTGTGGCACGATGCATTGTCCTGATGAAAAAAGATTTTTTCTTCTGCAATTTTTTTTTTTATCTCGTCGGAAAGGTTGCAATAATATTCAAAATTCAGGATCATGGTGATAGACCCAAGTCTCATCCAAAATCGTAATGATGAATCGATGTACAAAATCCACTTTATCCTTTTTAAAATTCTCCAAATGTTGCTGAGAAAGTCGCATTCAAACGTGTTTTTGTTCYATTGTTAGCGAATGCGGCACCCATTGAGCACACGGTTTTCTAAACCCCAAAATTTCAATTAAAATATGGCTCATACTGCCTAATGAGATGTGTAGAGGCTCTACTAAATCTCTCTCAGTCAATCGACGATTTTCTATGTGTTATATTTTGACTATGATTTCTGGTGCTGATGAGCTTTTTGAGGGCTTGTCTTCAAGGCTTGTGCGCCCACGTTTAAATTCAGCAATCCAACTTTCTACTGTTCTAATTGTAGGTGAACAACCATTATACACTTCTAACATTCGTACGTGGTTTGCTTTTGGGGCTACACTTTAGAAAAATTAGAATTGTTATCCCGAGTGCCATAAAGACAGATTTCAGAAGAGCTTTACGAAAACTTACGGAAGGATATATCAATCTTAGTAAATCAGTAAAGTATCAATAATGATTATATAGATGCTGTTGTAAAACTTGAATAGAATTTGAATATATCATCGTTCGAATGAGAAGGAATAAGTCGAACTACAGGAATACCCAATGAAATCGCTGGTCCGCAGTAATGAAAAACGATTTTACGATGAAATTGTTTTAATGAAAAAAGGTTAGTTCGTGTGTTATAATTCAGATTTAATAGTTATTTTACGCATTTACATCTCCAACAAACACGTTTCATAAGTGTAGCTCAGAGACAATCGAAAACAAAAMCAAATAAGAGATGCTTTGTAACTAGCTTAATTCGATAGATATTAGCGTTTGTGAAGTGAAATCAAGTTAATTTGCGCTATGCACACAAAATAATGAGAGTCAAAAGCACGAGTGAGAGCAGCGAGCGCATTGTATTTGTAATTGTAGCGAGTGATTGATAACGCATTGGCTTTATCRCCATGGAAAATAAGTCAAAAGCCAATTCAACAATTTGTTTTTCTACAATGCGAACATTTGTAACTGTTGTTTGTTGGTGTTGTGTTTTCTCATTTTCCTGCACGAGCGCAATGGCGTTGCTGTGTCTCTTCAATGGATGTGAGTTAGCCTGTGTGCTTTGCATGTATGTGTGTAACTAACAAATTTTACAAGTATGGATATGTGTACGGATGCAATGCAAGAACAAAGAGTGTGTGTGCGAGAGTGTGGCAACACCCCTTAATGTATCTTAGCGCCTACCTGCAAACCCATTTTAATGGCCAAGAACCGGAAAACTACCCTACGCGCGCTGCCATGCTGAAAGTATGAAAGAGCGAAAGAGATAACGCGCTACGGGGTGCTTGTCTCAGCATTTYGCACCGCACAGGATAGCGCACTGTCAACGGTTGACAACGCATCGCAGGACCTACAAGGCGCTGCCGTGGTGCCGTTTCATTCAGACACTTGCCGCCAGCTTGCTCGGTCGAGTTRACGCATTTTGCTRGCATTCAAATAGCAAAGTCCAGGCGGTGATTGTGTCAGTCGGTGGTTGTTGGTCGTAACATCAATTATATTATGTGCGCGCGGRAAATGCGATTTTCATAAACGCAACGTGTGCTAAATGTGTCCAACGGCAGTGAAACTAATCAATTGCGGATACTTTGTCTTGATGAATACAAACAAGCATTTCTAATTGTTTTACAAAGTGCAATTAAATAACTAATTTAATAAGTTTACTTTGTGTAAAAGAACAATAGTGAACCAAGGAAGCAGTTACTAATATTTACCGAAGTTGAAAACTGTGCTAAAAATAAAGTTGTAGTGCCAAATTGAACGCAGCAATATTTATTTTCGAAAATGTTGTCCACCACAACGTCACATCCCATCATGGCTCCCGTTATGCGTCCAGTTCAGGAAGGTCCTGTATCAAGACCACGCGCTGTCTACAGCATCGATCAAATTTTGGGTACGCAGACGAAGAGAAGAGGTGAGTCAATAGCACAGCAGCGCTGTTTTTTGTATAAATAATTATCTTTTTTGGTAAAATGTGTTACTTTTAAGCATACTGAAAGATTAGTCAATGCATATTCAGAGTTTTTGAAGGTTTTTCGAACGATTTTTATCAATAAAAATAGAAATGGTAATCAATCTAACTGTGTAGCTCTTTTCCTTCCGACAGCCGTCGCTTTTATTACGAGTATATATAGTCTCCATATAGATAAAAATAATGATCGTAAAATGTTATTACCACAGCTTAGAGAGAAATGTCAGAACATGCAGAACTGGAAGAAAACTCGGAAAAATATTAAAAGACGTAGGCGATGTTTACAGTACTAACTGCACTTGGATTTATGATTGCTTCTRTATTTTTTATTTATTCAATTTTATGACTGAGGAACATTCCTGTCAGAAGGGGTCTATTGCTATTACAATTTTGGACTTTTTTTTGCACATTTATGAACTATCAGTCAGTTAGTTTTGATTAGCAATTCAGTAATTTGTTAGAAGTTTTTAAAATCTAATTAATTGTGCTCAATCACAACAGTTTCAGAACTTTAGCAAATATTAAAAGAATRATTTTGTAGTACAAAATGGCTAAGTTAACCATTTTTAAGGAAATATTCTGTTCTTAGTCTGAATGTAAATCGATTTGATCTCAATAGTAATTACTATTGGTTTAATACTCTTTGAAAGGTTGTCGTTACCGCAAACTAATATAAGACCATTGTAGGGTTCTAGTCTACGCCAACTTGTCATAAGTATTAACTATTTTATTGACTAACTTTTTAAAAATTGTCTAATTTTAGTCAATTTGTCATAATAAGTATTGACTATTCCAGGTTGGAATGTASATCGATATAACTTCAATAGTAGGCAATTCGGTTAAATAGCTCTTTGGCAAGGTTCAAGTACCCACTAACTAATATATCCTTGATAGTGTTCGATACCTTGGCTTAAGTATGGACTATACTAAAGATGCTTCTTAAAAATTTGCCAATTTTAGCTAATATTGTCATAATATTGATTATTCCAGATCGGAATATAAATCGGTATAACCTAAATACGTAATATGATTGCAGGTATTCTTGTTAAATAGCAACTTAGGCGGGTTCAAGTATAGACTAACTAGCCATAGGTACTATATGGTATAAGGATTGACTACTTTAGTGAGAAAGTTTTTAAAAATTGACMTATTTTATTGTGGCTAAATTACATTCTGTGGGTTATTTTCTGGAAAGAGAGCATTTTGATTGATTTATTGTAAAAGTAACAGCATAATGTGTTCACCTATATATTTTGATGCATGGCTTTAGTTCTTMGGCGGACTGTAAATTGGTGTTTTGRAATTTCAAAACWACAAACTYGAGTTCCGAGCAGTTTCCAAAGWCTTTTTTTGTTCAAAATTGCAAACTAACAAACTAGATTTTCTTGAGCACTCTAAAGAAAACACTGAACTAAATTCGAGCACTGCTTCCTTTTCCATTAAATGTAATTATATGATATCAATGAAGCAGCGCAACGATCTCAAAAGAAACTAAACAACGCAATTCAATTTCAAACCCAGTTTCGCTTGTACTAATATACTATAGTTCAAGCTGTTATATTGTAGCGATCTACGAGTTCCCATATGATCAATGCGTTCTAATAAATACAAACATACATACACCAGAATATATGGTACGAAGAAAACCAGTTGACGACCCTCGGAAAGTGTGTTCAATGGCATAACGTGTAATCAAATTTTAATGAGCCTCAAATTAATAATTTTTCACAACTCAACGATATGTCTGCGACGGCAGCAATGTCGTGTAGACACAGCAGGACATCCAGGAGCGAAAAAGGAAAAGGACGAGGAATGTGCTCATATAGAGATTGTATTTTAAATTTGCTGCTTAGATTCTGCACATTGAARCGCCGGTGAAAACATATTCACACATATATTTTTGCTATAGTTGTTGTATACACATAGATTTTCATTCATTCATGCAGTTAGTGAGAGGCAATTTTATAAGTTGGCATCAAATTACTTATCATCGAATTAAATACGGGGGTAACTATCCAAATACAGCCGCGATGGGCGTGTGAGGCACAATACAAAATAGAAAAGCAAAATATTTTTAACTTTATTCCAAACGGCATCAATGTTGTTGTAATTTAATTGCAATTTCACGCAATTGCCATGTTGTTATTGGCTTTACCTCAACGTCAGTCAAACTATTGCCATTTGTTCGGTCACAAGTGCCTGCCGCTCGCAACGACGYCAYGGCATAGCGCTGGCGATTGTCAAACGCCSATGTCCTGTGGTGACATTATCCGATTTTCATATTTGATTACAACAAGACGCACAAATATTTTGCCCGAAGCAAATTCGTAACTGAAACATTCATTACGGTTATTATTAGTAGAGACGTCTGCGTGCGTGGTGGTGAGAGACATTTTCTGTRTTGCTGAGAAAATCGTATGTAGAGAAAAAAATTATGCGCTAACGCCTTGAAGTATACATTACAAGCTGTAATTAGTCGCAGCACCCATGCGAGATCCACAGGAAGGCTATCAAAGCGATTGTAGAACGCCCATTATATATGTCGATGAGTATCATATTTTAAATTTTCAATATTTGAATAACTAAAGCACAGTTTTTCGTAAGTTTCAGCAGTAGAAATTAGCCAAAGTAGATTTTTCTTGCATCGATATAAAGAAAAAACATATCGGAAATTTGATTTTAAAAGCCTTTAAGTTTCAAAAAACTTAAAACTTGGAACTCTACAATACATTGCTAGCTTYCTGCCTTCATTTATTTAGTTTGTTATGTTTTGTCTAAAGCTGGTCTGTGATTTTTGGAAAACTTTCAGTCGTAGAAAATATTTGCTATAAGATCTGATCAAAAGTGATCCGGACTGACAATTTTCACGTATTTTGGAATAAATCTTTATTGTCACCTTCAAAATAGGCTCATTCAATGCAAATTTCCATTCACTTGGTAGGCCTTTGGTGCTTTTCGAATGATTTTTGGAGAGACATTTGTTAGATTGTTCAACAGTTTCGAAGTTACATTCATAAACTCACYTCTCGGCACAAGTAATGATGCGTTTGAGGTGTGTGGAGTGCTCAGATGCGTTGTCTGGCATCTTTGTGTTTTCTAACTAATAGCTTTTACTTTCGCAAACATCCCGCTTGTGAAGTACACCGTCATTAAATAAAATTATTTAACCTCATGTGATATAAGCATAGATTTCTGCCCTCAATTTCAGTTCTATGTCGCTTCTAATGCTGCGTTATGCGATAATGTAAAAACAACAACTATGCGCAATCAAATCCAATGGCATGGTAGCTTTTACTCAGCTCAAAATGGCTCCATAATTTGCATAAAATCAAAAGGACTCGACAGCACCACAGCCATGAGTCCAACAACGTGTGCTTAAGCTGATATGCGTATATATACATACATGTATATGTATATGTGGACACATTGCTTGTATGTAGTAGTGCTCATGTGAGATTCCGCCAGTTTTAATATAAGCTCATTTTCATGTTGTTGTTTCCCTGCATTGGTTTAGTCAAAAAAGCCGAAGGTGCCAAAATATTTGCACACACTGTGGTTCAGTGGTTTTTCGTCAAGTGCGATATTGCTGGAAAGCACACAAACACACACACAACCCATCTTTAYGCAAGCGAGTTTGTTTAAGCTTATAGACACATATGTATATCTATGTATGTATGCGGCGGCGTATGTGTAAATATGCAGGGATGCTGTGGTGTCTATTGATGGCATTTTGTTCAGTAATCTGCTCAATCAAAGGCCACTTCGCTGAGGAAGAGCGTTGGCAGCTTTGGTAATGTTCGATGCGGTTGTGTGTGTTATGCTTATACTACAAAAACCGTTATTTAGGCAATGGTGTGCGCCAAAATGGCTCAAAGCTGATCCATTTCATGGTCAACCATATCAATAATTGAGTTAATGACTCATTCGACGGTGTGACATGTGGTTTGCTCTCAATACCTGCATTTTCAATTTGTATGCTAAAGAGGGAGCCTGYTGTGGCGCGTGACTGTTGTTGAATATTCGATTGATTAGTCGTTAAATTGGTCAACAGCAGATTTTGACGTTTTAATAAAGGGTTAAAAGCAGTGCTTTGGTGGATTACATTTTGAAATATGGGCTCAGATGAAATCATGCATTCATTTGCGAGAGCGGAAATTTTGAGCAGGTTTTATTAAAATAAATTTAGAAAATAAATGTTTTTAAAATACTTAATTAAAGGGGTTATGTCCAATTGCAAGTCAGAAAAACCCTTAACCAAGTAAAAAAATCATAATAACGATAAATTAATACAGGTTTTTCGAGAGAAAAGTTCTGCGAAAGATTTATGGTCCTTTGCGCTTTGGCCACGGCGAATATCACATTCGATGGAATGATGAGCTGCACGAGATATATGACGACATTGACATAGTTCAGCGAATTAAAAGACAGCGGCTACGCTGGCTAGGTCATGTTGTCCGGATGAACGAAAATACTCCAGCTCAGAAAGTATTCGACGCAGTACCCGCCGGGGGAAGCAGAGGAAGAGGAAGACCTCCACTCCGTTGGAAGGACCTGGCTTCACTTGGAATATCTAATTGGCGCCACGTAGCGAAAAGAAGAAACGACTGGCGCGCTGTTGTTAACTCGGTTATAATCGCGTAAGCGGTGACTACGCCAATCAAGAAGAAGAAGGTAATGATCAGAGGACTAGTAAAATTTCTGATTGCTTTCCAAAATCGAAATAATTGTCAATAGTCTCTTTGACAATTGAAAATTCAGGTCGATCGGTCTAGTCGCTTCGGAGAAAATTTCTTCGCCGTCTTTAAAAAATAACGTAAAATCCCTTTTCATAAGTCTACAGGCGAAGGAAATATAATACGAACCACTCTTATTGAACAAAATTTGAATTTTGGTTATAAAATGGTTATATATTGGTTATACATTGGTTATAAATAGGTTATAAATAGKTTATACATTCGTTATATATTGGTTATAAATTGGTTTTATATTGGCTGTATTTGACAGCGGCAGCTGAAAATTTTACGCTACAGGTATACATATAATATGAGTAAAAAAGTAGTAAAAAGTTCAATTTCAATTTTTATTTTACATGTCGGTGACGAAATAACCCCTTAATGATATTRAATTCTTTGTGAACTAACATAGCATATCTTAAGGCGTTAAACAAATTTTTAAATTTCAAATGTTGCAATGTATTTTCCAATGAAAGTAAGAATAATGTGAACATTGAAATAAAATTTTCACTTYTCTAACTTTCAAGTTTTACTTCGATTAACGATTTTTTCAGTGCTAAGGCCAAATTTGTGTACGTTTGGCTGAGAACCTTAGATGAATTTCTAAAGTAATTTTTATTTAAGAAATATTGGTAATAATCTAATTCGCACTCAAGTCGAATTTTAGATTGTTGAATGTCTTCAGCGCAGGAAATTGCTGCTTAAACCCAACGAATACACATACCTAGGCACTCACATACACACGTATGCCATGAGAAACATATACGACGTTTCCACACAAACACACAACACACACACAGACCCACCTAAATATATGGCACTTAGGCACTTAGCCAAAATATATACTTAAATACACTCTTCAATGGACTACTGCTTTCAAATCAAATTCAATTGAAACGCCATCAAATTGAGACTCAATGGAAAYGAGGCAACAAATGCAACGCATAATTCTTTTTATTGAATTGAATTTGCAATTTTTTAACCCATTGTTTGCACACTTGGCAATTGTGTGTGTTTACCGAAAAAATTCTTTTGATTTATTGATTTTGAAATTTGCACCGATAAGCACCAAATGTGCGTGTGTGTGTGTGTAGACATTTGTGCGGTCGAATCAAGCGAGAAGCGAGAGTTCAACGAAAGAAGTGCACAATTGGCAAAAATACAAACAAGCACACACATACAAATGCGCTTATAATCGTGTGTGTGTTTGGCTTTGGTGAATAGCAAAGTCATGCGGTAAGCTTGTTGTTGCTATTGTTCGAAAATTATTTCGTGAAGTATTTGAAGAAGAAATTTTCAATTGTTTAGCGGCGCTGAGAAGTCGGGTTGAATTGGTTTGTTTATACACTCGCCGGGAAGAGCTTCAGAATGGGCTTGAGAATGGGCGGAAAAGTGGGTTGGTGTGGCTGAGCAAGCGAGACTGTGCGTGAGTCGAAGTAAGCTGGCGTTGAATGCGCTTAAAATCAATGCGAAACGCCAGTGCTTAGTCGACCAGCTATTTAAACTTATTTTAATGCTATTAATGTGAATTAGGCGCAACCACCCCAAAAAGGTGTGCAATGAATTAAGGAACTGCATATGTCCGAGTAATACAGTGAAGCCTTGTTCATAATAAACATTTGCTTGTTTTGAAAACAAATAAAAATTATTATAACATTAAAAATTTCTTTTTAAAAAAAGTTGTTATAAATTACTTAAAAATTAATGAAATATTACTCTCTGCTTTTTCAGATTCCACCGAGTCCTTGAACAGCCATCAAATACATATTCTCCATAACAACAACAATAACATGAATAATCACAACCTAAGTAATAGCTCTAGTAACGGCAATAGCAGCAACAATAATATGAGTAGCATGAATTCGTTGCATCACAGTCATCACTTGACTCAACGCGACGAGTCGCCRACAAACATGGACAACGGTCTTGATGTGGACAATGACGACGAGTTGTCGAATAGTCTGAATAGYGGACATGATTTGGGCGACATGGARCGACCGCGTAAGGTTCGAAGGTAAGAAACACAAAATATGTGGTTAAAAATATTGATATAATAAATATTATGCTTGATATGATGTTGCTGATTCATAAAAAATTTTTTTGAAAGTTAAGCTTATTTTGATTGGGAGTCACTGTTTAGCCGGAAAACAAAATTTTCTKGCTTGATTGAGGTTTGCCTATTTGAAGAAAGCAACTTTCTAGCAGTGGACTGCTGTAAAAATTCTCAGGTGTCTTGAGAAGTAGTAAAAATATTAGAATTACTCGAATTATATAAAATTTGCGCCTTGTTCGAAAGCTTGTTTTAAATGTGGCTAATAATTCCCCTCTCATTTAACTCCTCAACCATTGGCAATTGGGATAGYCGWTATTTATAACCTTCTTTTGAGAMRAATTTTTYATCAGAAAAATAATTCKCAATAGACAGAAAGGGGCTAGTAATCATGTGATGCAAGGTCCAAACTATAAAGTGGATGCTTAAGAACGTCCCAACTAAAGWATCTGGGCTTCTTGTAAGTCACAAACGATGTATATGCCTTAGCCTTGTCCTAATGAACATAATTCTTTTACTCCTGGCCAAAGCTGTCCACTTTCCCATTGTTGATGTGGACAGGTTTGGATTAAGAGTTTGGCAGTAAGGGAGGATGCTATAGTAGATGTTTCTCTGTAAATCCCACATAACACTCTAATCATATCCAGCCCTACTGAAATGCTACCAAAGGGGCTTTTGTGACATGTTTAGACTCAAACAGTGCTTATATTTTTGTAGGACTCGTGAATTACATTAATTTATCAATATTTTCGACAATTGGCTCTCCAGAGCGCGGTGCATCTTTGACATAAAAGTTACCGGAACGGAATCCACTAAACTCAAATGGCAAAATTGCGCATGTTTGACAGCACCAGCACCACTATGAACACTATCCACATTTTCCGCTACTTGGCTCATGGTTTTGAATTTATCGAAGAAAATKTGTAAAATATGRCGCATTTTCTTGGTGTTCAAATTCATCAAGCAAAGATAATTTTTGGTTTCTAGTACCAAATCTTGAGTTTCTAACGCCATATTGCATAACCCTATTGCACTCATACTCAGGATACAAGYCGCTAAAGCTATTTATTGGAAAAATAAAGGATTTCCTTTTAAAATACCTAATATATATTAAGTTACTCATATATAGTATACTCATATATATAGTATACTTCCCATATCCTTCGTTAGGAACTTATTTTGAGACTGTTTTCAGTCTCCGCTACCAATAAAACTTCGCATTTTCTTTCTTGAATTGTCTGAAAATACCTTAGTTAAGACCCAAAGCATTGAAACTCTGTTATGTACGCATACAAATGATTAGTTAGAAACCTTCCTCTTTGAACTTTCTTTTCTTCTTTTGAATTGCTGTCTTTTWCAATTCCGAAAGTACAAGGAAAATGCTTATAAATAGTAATAAACAGTTATAAACATGAAAAAATACTTCAAATGTTTATTTGGCTACTTTTTATTGCCAAATTAGAATCCGCTTAAATATCTGTGAATAATAAACTCCAAAGSCGAGGAAAGCAAATTGCAAGAGGCGAAAAGAAATCGCATTAAATTTAGCTTCTGAGCGTTTTGCCAAAGCGGCGGCTTTGATTCATTGAGAGAAGTTCCTTTCATTTAAGTATATTATATAAGTACAATTGCTTCACTTATTCGAGGCTTAACTACAAATATAACAATAATATTAATTTCTTTGCCATTGCTGTCGTTGCAGATCGCGCACCACATTCACAACATTCCAGTTGCACCAACTGGAGCGCGCCTTCGAGAAGACGCAGTATCCGGATGTCTTCACAAGGGAAGATCTGGCGATGCGCTTGGATTTGAGCGAAGCACGTGTACAGGTAAATAGACGTTGAATTGTGATTTCACTATTTGTTACATACATACATACGAGTATGCAAGTCCTCGCACTAGTCGCTTGCTGGTAGCACAGGACTCGATTGCCGCTCCTGAATTGTTATCTGATTTTGTAATTATTTACGGATTAGCGCATTTTAGCAACAAACAATGGCAGCTGCTGCTTTTTATGCGCGCAAATCAGTGCATATGTGTGTGTGTATGCGTTTGCAACATTTATTTGTATCTTATATTTGTGCTGATGTTCCCATGGCGATTGCTGCAATAAAGCACTTTTAATATCACCTATAATGGTCGCATTAACGGTACGATTGTCCGATCACGTGAGTCAATTTGATTGTAAGTGGATAATGAGATATTTGCGACGGTGCACTCGTACGAGTACACACATATTCGCAAGATGTTGCTCAAGCATTAGCCCTGACGGCGTTTAACTGGCACATAACTACAATGCMTTTTTTCTATTTACAAATATTTTGTGAGAGACACGTTTTTGATGTAACAAAATAAGTGGTGATTCTATTAGACTACTCTATGATATTGAATTTATAATAGACTTATATTAAGTTTGTTATCTTTTGACGGCGGGCAGTTGGTAGTCGCATTCGTATCAGTTTTAGATCTTATTCTATAGCTCGCTTGCTTTTCGACGGGATATTTCGTTGATAACAATAGATACATATGTACATCTACACCATGTAGTGGTCCGATCTAAGCCATTCCTCCGAAAATTGCAGTGTAAACCAGGCCAAATTCGTGAAGATCGTGATCAGTTCTATGGCAGTTATATGCACTACAGCACTATTGGCGGTTCTGCCAAATCAGTAGCTTCTTGAGGACAAAAATATGTGTGGCAAATTCCAAAAAAATATTTTAGGAACTGAGAGATTTTTTCGCGTATATATTGGGTAGTCGAAAAACYCTTTTCGTATTTTGTCAACAGAAGTCGTTGCGGTTGTATATCTCCAGTGCTACYAATCACATTRTGTCATACCATATAKTGTTGAAAAGGTGAGATTTTTAGCTTTATTTAAACGAAAAAAATAAGTTAAAATTTTATTAGAATACGAAAATACTTTTTCGACTACCCAATATTTGCAAGCAACGCTGATCATTTATATAAAGTGTATACCTTATAGCATATCCGACGGTTCCTTTAGGGTATTACAAACTTCGTGGCATATTTAGCATATAAAAAAATCGCGAATATCAATATAAGTGCAAGTTAATCGCTTGCAACAATGGAAATTATTAATTAACGGCACAATTATTGGCTCTCCACTCAGCAATGACTTTTGCTTGGTAATTATTTTCGCAATTCAATTTCCAGATTAATGGGTTAATTAGCAACAATTAAGCATATTTGCAAGTGTGGGCATGTGCCACAATACGAGGTGTGTTCAAAAAGTATCGCGAATTTTGAATTTTTTGTGGCGTTATGTT